AGGAGGAAAGAAAGAAAGAAAGAAAGAAAGAAAGGAAGGAAGGAAGGAAGGAAGGAAGGAAGGAAGGAAGGAAGGAAGGAAGGAAGAAGAAGAAGAAGAAGAAGAAGAAGAAGAAGAAGAAGAAGAAGAAGAAGAAGAGGTGGAAGAGGAAGAAGAGGAAGAAGTTCCTTTGGGGAGCTCCAGAGTGGTTGGGCTATTTAACAAGTAACAAGTATCTATGGAGACAGACCTGCCCACCTGATTGTGAACTCCAGCACCTTTGGTGGGCTCAGGGTTCTTTCCCACCTCTACAGGTTTGACCACTCTTCTTCAGTTACTTCTGTTATTGACCCTATTTTCATACCGACATTCAGCCAGTCACAGTCAGTACCCTACGCATTTGGGCTTACAAGTACAGAGGCCATTGGAATTCAATGGAGGAAGAAGAGACAACTGCCTTCGGGAGTCACTGGGACAGACTCACCTGAGAGAGAGGCCTTCTTGGCAGGAGCTCAGTTGGGCTAGCCTCCGGGACTCCACCTGCAACTGTAGGCAGGGGACTTGTTCTTGCCCTGGCCTCCAAGACTCCACCCCCCCACACTTCAGAAGGACCTGATTTCTCCCAGTCTTGAGCCCCTACATGCCAAGATCATTCACTGCCCCATAGAGTTACTGCTCTGGAGGTGTGCAGAGCTGTAACGTGGCTCAGACCTGATCCTTGCTGGGCCAGGGGCAGCTCTTGGTTGGCATCTTAAAGCCTTTGGGAGCTCTGAGATACAAGCTCTCAGAGCTAGCTCTCCCCAGCGCTTGGCTAGCATCAATCTATTTTAAGTTGTTTTATCCCACTTAGTATTGTGAATCCTGAGCTGACAAATGCATTTATAGTATGATGGTACTCAAATTCTTTCAGATTCTGAAGCATCTTTTTAAATTAAGGGAATAGAATGTCCAACCAACCTGTCAACGTGGCAGGCAAGAATTCTACCACTAAACAACCAACGCAAACTCTGTCTGCAAATGTAAACAGTGTTGTGAAAGACTGTAAAACAGGAAAAAATACAGGAGGGTTCTTGAGATGGCGCAAGCCTGGTGGCCTGAGTTCAATCCTCGAAACCCACATGGTAGAAGGGGAGAATTGCCTCCTGCAAGTTGTCCTCTGGCTTCCATTCCCTCCCCCCTCCCTTACACACACACACACACACACACACACACACACACACACACACTAAAATCAATTTAAAGCAATTTTTAAGAATTCATAACTATCGTGTCCATTGAAAGCATACTGTCACCACCAATCCCAACTAACTTGCGATTCATATTACAAATTGCTTTCTCTATCTCTGTAATCAGGTTCTTTTCAAGAAAAATCAGTGAGGTTTCTGATCTTGTAAAAGACTCAGAACACCACACCACACCAAGATGCAGCTATTCTGGGGAGCCGCCCATCGTGATACATCCGCCCAATCTTTTTTTTTTTTTTTTATCATAGATCCCACATGTCAAGACAATCCCAGCACTCACCGGTCGGTAGTGAAAATGTAGCCCACAAGATCCTTACAGCTTATCATCAGGACACAGAAGGTCACAGCAAAGAGCTCTGGGCATAAAGCAGAAGAAAGGGCACAGTGAACAGGGAGGTGACAGAAAGTGGGGAGTCAGGGGCTCCATACACAGCCTGCATGCACCAGGAGCCTCGGGCTAAGGGTGTAAGCACCTGTGACTATCAAGGAAACAGCTGAGGACTTCTTGGCCTGTTCAATGTTTCCAGCACCCAACGCATTTCCCACCCGGACGTTGGCCGCCACACTGAAGCCTGCAGGAATCTAAAAGGAAAGAAAATACAGTAAGACTGTGCATTGACACCACAGACAGACTCAGCCTGTGCTTCACACCGTGAGGGCTAAAACGGTCCTACAGGCTCTGAAGACTTTACGGGCTCTGAAGACTTTTATATCTCTGAGGCCTCGCTAGAAGCTCTGGGCTAATGAGGAACCTCTGTCTCCAAGTTAGGATTCTCAAAATAAATTAGGCTTTTCTGCAGGGTTTCCAGCCTCTGCCACAGGAGGGAGGACCCCACGCCACCACATTTGCCCTCTGGGACACAGGGGAACAGTATACAGGACGGGCTTGGCCAGGGTCCACTCTAGTGTCTGTTTTGAAAGACAGAGAGATTCCATTTACAAAGCAGAAATGTTACTAAAGAAAATCCCAGGCAGGGGCATTGCCTTGTAACTAGGGTGGGGGTTCTGAGGCCAAACTGCCTGGATCCTGACACATTTGTGCTTATTACCCACGCGACACTCAGCCCATTGCTGAACCTCTGATGTTTCATTCTGTCTGTACAAAGACTCTAATAATGGAGACTTTACAGAGCTCACAAGGTCACCAACTTAGAATAGAGTCTCACACATAGTGAATATCCAATAAAGATTTTCCGTTAATATCTATACGTTTACCACTTGAATCACTAATGATAACTTTTAAAAGACAAATCATTCATTTGAGCATGAATGTTACGTTGCAGGTTGGGATAACTTTGGTGAGGGTTTAGGAAAATCTAAAACACAGAATAAGGAACAGTGAAGAAATGAGAGATTGGCTTCCCCCCCTTCAAGGTCATCACTACAGTATCAAGCCGATTTCCTAACAATTTCTTCACAGAGATGGAGAGACAGGAATGTGACGTAAAGAAAGCTATCGGCAACCATTTAACCACATACCCCTAGTTAATGCCCGTATGGTGCGTCTCCTGGTACAGTGTCCTGAGAAGGACTCAACACCATTTCTCATAGAATTCCCTCCTCAAATGGAGAGTCTGGGCTTAGGATGAAACAACCGTAGCACTTTGAGGGGAAATGTCGCAGTCAAGAGGGACAAAAAAAGGCCAAGACCCTGTTCCCAATGAAAGGACATTAATGATTAAAGGACATTAACAGGATGTGTCTCCTGTATGCCAGAGGGGAAAGTTACTGAGAACATCACAGAACAAGTGATGGCAGACCGCCAGGGAGCCTCTAAATGCAGCGCTGGGAGCAGCTGGTGCATCTATAGAGAAGGGGTACAGCTTTTTTTTAACTGGGGAGAAATACAGACATGCTTTTGTGTACCCATAGAGAGAAGAGGACAGATTGCGAAGAGCACATATAGAGACTTATAAGCATTGATCTTTTTATGGTTTTTTTTTCCCAGTCAAGATTTCTTGGTGTAACAGCCCTGGCTTTCCTGGAACTTACAGAGAACCCCCTGCCTCTGCCTCCACGAGTGCTGGGATTAAAGGTGTCCACTACCACTGCCCAGCAGTGTAAACATTTATCTTTTGTTTGTTTTCTTCAGACAAGAAAAAGAATCGGAAATCATATAAAGATATTTGCTCCAGGAGGTATCCTGAGGTGCTGTTGATCTTATTACAATAGTATGAATTAAACATTGGGCAGTGGAAGGCTGGCTTAGAGATAATGGGCTCCTGGCCTTCAAGCCTTGAAAAAAGTACTTAATTAAATTACTAAAATATGAGATGTAAATAAAATATAAAAACGTGAAGTACAGGTTAAAAACATCTTCCACAGGCAGTAAAAATAAAAATATATTCCCCCAAGGAGTAGAAGTAGAAGAATTGACCTAGCATGCTTGGATACCTAGGGGAATTAAATATAAACTAAACCCGAAGAAGTGTGTATGCCCATTAAATACAAACAATGGAGGGTAGAATGTCAGCTGGCTGAGTCCTTCTCCAAACTATAAATGCCCTTTCTCTCTGTTTAAAAAAGTTCATTTTTTTTTTTTTTTTGCACGGTGCTGGGCATGAGTCTCAAGTACGCTGGCTGTACTCTATTACAGCATCACACCCTAGTCCCTTCTTCAGCTTTCTGTCTGAAGCGGTGCACGCATAAATGAGAGCCCTTCAGAGTTTCACGTTGACCCACAAAGTGATGGGAAAGCCTTTAACAATGTATTTTCTAGCACGTCAGAATCTCCTCCACTTTGAAGGGTGAGGAACATTCCACCATGAGCATGTACGTACTTGGTCCACCCATCCCTCCACTGATGGGCAGACACCCAGGCAGCGTAACTACAGCCAGGACCGCCTCTGTGAACACGGTGTGCAGACAGCTGTCCAAGTCCCCGTCTCCCACCCTTCTGAGTCCCCCCATAAACATACACGGCAGGCACAGTGTGTTCAGACGTGGAATTAGCACATAGCTGACCTTGGTGATCAGACACCCATTCCATACCACTCTACTCCCAGGGCATTGCACTGGGGCAGTATGGGAACAGAGTCAACTCCTTTAGATCTGAACTGGGCCAGAGACAGAATTAGCAGATCTTTTGGAGTTTCTGCCCACCCCACCCCCTTCAGCTTACAGGGAGAACTGACCATACCAGGCATAAAGTCATAAAGATGACTTTGTGGGGGAAGGGGACAGGAATCGAACTCAGGGCCTCATGAGTACTAGGCAACCACTCTAGCACTGAGCTACTCCCACCGATTTTATTTTTTATTTTGAGAAATTATCTTATTCCTTAGTGAAGTCCAGCCTTGAGCTTGTGACTCCCCTGTTTCACCCTCTGAGCAACTGGGATTACATGTCCCTATCACTAGTCCCTGCTGCAGGGTGACGTTTTATGTCCAGGAACATCTTATACAGTATTACTGAGTGCCACCAATGCCTTTTGCTCTTTGTGGGACTCTCAGGATAGACAACAGGATGCTTCCACCACGGCCAAACAATGGGTCTTGAGCACTTACCATGTACACAATGAGAGCCAATTCATAGGTGATGGACTGGGCTCCCAGCTCCACCATGCCGAGGATACCTGGGAAAGACGGCAGCTGATATCAGCCTCGCCCCAGCCAGACCGTTCCCGCCAGCCAGTTCCCACCGGTTCTCCCGTCTGCGTACGCACCGCTCAGGAAGCTGCCTATCTCATAGGCCCACCACTCAATGCACAGCATGAGCATGCTAGGGACGGCCAGTTGCAGGAAGGAGGCCCAGTCGTGCAGACACTCCCAGGACCACCCTGCAGGTACAACAGGTGGGTTTCCAACATGTCTAACTTTTGGGCAAAAGCCACAGCCCAATCGAAAGGAAGTCTTTACCTCCCCATGTGTCTTGATGCAGTTTTCTCCAGAGGATGTAGAGGAACAGGAGGATGGCCAGGGCAAATTGGGAGATGGTGTTGGCTATCGCTGAACCCCTGGGAAGACCAGCAACTGTGGGTGGACACTGTGCTCCCCCCTCTCCGTTCTGGCTTGGGGGAGTTGGGGAGCCATGGACCCCTCACTGTGCCCTCCTCCACCACAGGCCCTGAGGTTATCCGGCTTGGGGCAGCATCCCCTACACTCTGATAGCACTTTCCAATGCACCTAAGAAGGCCCTGGGCCACACCCACAGCGGCTAAACTGCCCTCTTTTCCCTGAAGAAGGCTAATGCAGTCTCCCCCTCCCCGCCCAAGAGGAAGCCCAACTCACATCACCCCAAGATGCAGCTGATGGAGGAATAGATAGTTGGCCAGGGCGTTGATAAGGTTGGCTGCGAATCCGGTCACTATCTGTGGCAGAACAATGCCCTGGAACGAGGAGATACCTTTACATGTGGAACATCAGGGGACTTGGGTTTAACAGGAGCGGTTGGTCAGTCGAGGATACCTCTCACCTTCCCATTCTCCCCTCCCCTCTGGGTCCTCCTCTTTGCTGTAAGAGAGAGCTCTGACCGCAATTGGTAGGAGGTGAGAAGACAAAAGGAAGTGGAAGGAACTCAGAGGTCCTCTCTGCTGTGCACAGACTGGCAGGAATTAGCAAGAGTGGAAGGTGGCATTTGCGAGAAGTTGGAGATAAACAGTGCTTTCTCCACCAAAACTGAAATCCAGAAGTTGGACCAAGGATCTTGTGAAACTGTTTCTTTTGAAATGGAAAGTGGATTCCTTCATGGCTGACTCTGAGAAACAGGAACAGCGGGAAGAAAGTCCTCCCTGCTTCCTGCCTCACATTAAGATGAGGGACTTGTGAGATGGCTCAACAGGTAGAAGCATGGGCCGCTCTTCCAGAAGACACAGGTTCAAATCCCAGTGCCTACAAAGTAGCTCATAACCACCTGTAACTCCCATTTTGGGGGATCCAATGCCCTCTTCTGGCCTCCCCTGGCACCAGGCATACAAGTGGTGCACAGACATCCACGCAGGCTTGGAGAGAAGCGGGACCTGTGTGACAGCATGGGGGGGGAGGGAAATGGGGACAGGAAGACCTGAAGTTCAAAGTCATCCTGGATTCTGGTTAGTGTTTGTTTGTTTGTTTGTTTGTTTGTTTGTTTGAGACAGGGTTTCTCTGTTGCTTTGGGGCCTGTCCCAGAACTAGCTCTTGTAGACCAAGTTGAATTCACAGAGATCCACCTGCCTCTGCCTCCTGAGTGCTGGGATTAAAGGCGTGCACCACCACTGCCAGGCAATTTGTTTGTTTGTTTGTTTGTTTGAGCTTACACAAACTAAAGCTAGCTGGAAGGAAGCCTCAGTTGAAGCACTGCCCGTCGTACTGGCCCGTGGGCATGTCTGTGGAGTATTTTCCTGACTGATGGCCGATATGGGAGGGCTCAGCCCACTGCGGGTGGTACCACCTGTGGGCAGGTGTTTTGGTTCTATAAGAAAGAAGGCTGAGTCCTGGCGAGCAGGGCACTAAGCAGCACCCCTCCATGGCTCTGAAGGTCACACTGAGATCACAGGCAGGCCTGCGATACACCACACCTGCTTCTACGGAGCCTTGCCCTTGCGCTTCCCCCTTGTCTGGTGAGACCACCTGACACCTCTGGGCCCTCAGTGCATAAAAGAACGAAATATGGCTGCAGTTGTCTCCGGTGGTCTCCAGCTGACAGGACGAGGGCTCACGAGTGACAGCTCAAGTGAGCGCCATGTGAGCCCCTGCAGAGTTTCATGGAGGGGAGTCAGATTTACACCTCTGGTGCAGAAAAGCAGCCAGCCTGCATTTTGGGGGGCCCAGGTGTGGTGGTTTGGATAAAAATGGTCCCCATAAGTCCATAGGGAGCAGCACTATTAGGAAATATGGCCTTGTTGGAGTGGGTGTGGCTTTGTTGGAGGAAGTGCGTCACTATGGGTGGGCTTTGAAGTCTCAGATGCTCAAGCCTAGCCAGTGTGTTATTGTTCTTCCTGCTGCCTGCAGGTCCAGTTGTAGAACCCTCAGCTACCTGTCCAGCACCATGTCTGCCCGTGTACCACCATGATAATAAAGAACTAAACCTCTGAAACTGTGAGCCAGCCCCAACTAAATACTTTCCTTTGTAAGAGTTGCCATGGCTATAATGTCTCTTCACAGCAATAGAAACCCTAACGAAGGGGCCTAAGACGGACAGAGTAGAAGGAGAAAGAACAGAGGCCGCCGACTGAATAAAGTGGGGAGGAGGCTGCAGGCCAAAATGAAGTTCCATGTGCGACATGCTCCCCCACATTGCTTCAAGGCAGCTGGCAAGATGCCGGGAGCTGAGAGATGGGTGTGGGAGCCGTGGGGATATATGTGACACCTGGAGACATGTAGGAAGCAGGCGCCTTTCTCAAGGAGGGCCAAGGAGGCCCAGAGTTGTCCACTTCCTTGCCCAGTTCCTCTCACTCTCTGCTGCAGGTCTCCATGTTCCCTGTCTTTCCTCTGCTCTCCTCTAACTTCTGCCCTCTTCCAGGGGAGTATATTCCTCCAAACAACTGCTTCAACTGAAACACTGCCCAGTCTCCAGAGCTCACCCATCACCATGGGTACTGCTCCTTCGGGGCAATTATTTCTTCTTATTAGGCCATTTTCAGCCCACCATTTTCAAAATTCTCATCTCCACACAAGAAATTAGTTTGTTTTCTACCAACCCAATCACCAGTCAATACAACACACTGCCCTAGCAGACCAGCCAGCCTGCTCCTCTTAAGCCACTGTGTGCTGTGTCTTCTTGGCTGTAGCAGTCTGCCCACACTCAGCGCTCCTGCCTAGTGCAGAGGATTCTACCTTGCTCATACAAGAGTCTAGACAGAGAAGGGAGGACCTGGAGAACAAGCAGAAATGCTGTTTATATCGCCTGTGTTCGACTAGTTCAAGTACCTACCTGTAACGTTAATAAAGTGTCCAGTAAGTGGAAACTTCCCTGCCTCTTCCTATCCCTCCTTCACACCTCTCTACTAAAGATGCCAGAGGAAGCCTGCCTGTGTGATGGGTATCTGTGGCCAGTTCCTCCTTTACTTGGATTTTTCTAGAAGAAAGTCCACAACCCTATATTACACACCGTCCTCATAAAAATCCACTCCCACCAAGTCAAGGCCACCATTCCCAGAGCCTCTGGCCATTGCCGTTAGCCATGTTTGAAGAGTCTTGACTATTCTCTGTTATCACTGCAAGCTTTTATACCCTCTGCCCCAGAACGTAGGAGCCTTCAGACAAACGGAGAAGAGGCGTGGGTGCCCTAGACACAGCCAAGCCACGGTGACCCTCAGCCCTCTACAGAGCAGACAGGCTTGTACCAGTAAGGAGCCAAAGAACACAGAGATGCTAGCCTTAGCATTGCCAATGGCAATATTTCCAAGAAAGAACTGGATATCATTTTTCAAAGCCAAGAATAATGCTTCATTCACTTCTTGATGGTACTTAAGAGATCTCTCCACATCAAAGTCCTGTGTGCACAAGCCTGAGAGCATCTTGCAATGACTCTCAAGCAGGCCAGTTCCCTCCACCCTGGTCTCCCCAATTCTATCAGCCCACCCCCAAAAGAAAGAGGGTAGTCCACATTACCTGGTTGAGCAAGTATTTAACTTGTAACGTATAGAGAAAGGCTGCCTACAAGAGAACAAGAGGACAGGATTAGTTCTGCAGTCTGAGCATCCATCAGGGATCTGGGTACCATAGCAGGCTTGTCCCACAGCCACCCTAGCTGTTCTCCACTCTACAAACCCTCATTTAACCTGGGCAAGCGGTGTCTGTGGTCTAGGGGCTTCACAAGGCTTCTGTGGGAATGAACATAAGCCAAACAGTGTAATATGGGGTATCACTTATGGTTCATGTGTGCAAGCATGTGGTCCTCAGGTAGACAGGCTGCTTTGGAGAAGTTGTGGAACATGTGGGAAATACAGGGTCATGGGTCTTGCCTGACCCCATTACAGACCTGAACTCCTGCTTCCTGGGGCAGGAACGGGGGCATTAGCTATAAGCAAGCGTTCTTGGGCTCCTGGGGTCACTAATAGGAGCCAGTCACACCATCGTGGGACTATGAGCTACAATCAAGTCCTTTTCTAAGTTGCTTCTGTTGGCTATCCCAGCAACAAGAGAGGTGCACCCCCACTCCCTGTCTGGCAGGAGGAAGTATGGTCTCCTAGGGTGTACACTGACACCCTAGTATAGCCCAGCTCTCATCTTATTTGGTGGGATAACGAAACAATGTCACATGTAAATGGTTTTATGGGGTAAGGCTGAGGGTATAGCTCAGGGACAGAGAACTCATTTAGCATGCAAGGCACTGGGCTCCATCCCCCAGAATATAAAGATAAAGAGAAAAAGAAAACATTTTATGATGAACTAAGAAGTACAATGCCAATTAGGAGGGCAAATAGCCACCATTAGGGCAGACTGAGTCCTTCAAATTTACATACAGAAGTCCTAGGCCCATAGGCAACTGGATTTAGAGGGTAATTAAATCAAAATGAGGACACTGGAGTGGGGCTCTAATCTAATAGGGTTGGTGTGTTTAACACAGTTTTTAATGATTTATTTATTCTTATTTTACACGCATTGATATTTTGCTTGCATGAATGTCTGTATGAAGGTGTCAGATCCCCTTTTGTGGAGTTACAGACAGTTGTGGGTACTCAGAATTGAAGTCAGGTCCTCTGGAAGAACAGACAGCACTCTTAACTGCTGAGCCATCTCTCCAACCCCAGATACAACCATGTTACATGGGAACAACAGGGTACACCTGTGAGCCAAGGATAGTGGTCGCAGGGAAACCACTGAGGCCCACACCGTGATCTTAGACTTACAGCCTTCAGAACTGTGAGGAAATGCATTCCTGCTGTTTAAACCCACCGTAGGTGGCAGTCCCAGCAAACATCCAGCCCCTCTATCCAACTGAATAAACTTAGCTTTGCCAGTTCATTGACCATCTACAACTTGTTATTAAACATTAACACACAACTGTCTAAAGGTCCTAGTGATGCTCTTGGAGGATCTGAGACGGACAAGACTTTACCCCTTAAAGACACATTCTGGACTCTTCTGCTGGATGCCCCAAGGGTATGTCAGGAACCAGAAATCAAAACAATGATCCCCATCCTGGAGTTTCTTCTGTTCTTTGAGAGACAAATGCTGGTGTGTCCTTAGGGGGACACAATTAAAAGCACTCTTCTATGATGAGCCAATGTCACATGTGAGAATTACATCAGACCAAGTTCATGACATCCTAGCCACTTTTTACCCAAGGACCCAAGAATGGGGTCTCTGACCCCTTGAAAACTCACAGGAAGCGCTGGGATGAAGATCATGACATAGGTCTGGGTGAGCCTACACAATAGAAAATAGCGAAAATGATGACAGAGGCCACCTCTCCCGAGAAGAGACAAAACAAAACAGTGGGCACTGTTGGTGCATTCTTGGGTCTTCCTAAATGAATGGACTTTGGCTGTTGTAGCAAGTGGAAAACTATACAAAGTCCACCACTTGCACCCTGGTTCAGCTTCCTGCTTCTTCCAGTCTAAAGCTCTCAGGCAGGGATTCTGAGCCTCACACTGCAGCTGGGCAGTCCTCATCTAAGGAAGCTGCTCAGGGCACCACAAGCTGTCTCTCAGCCTTCCTGGCTCCAAGTCCCTCTACTCAATGGGATATCCAGGCATGTCTTCAACTATTGTCAAATGCCTGTGTGTTCAGAACCACTGGCATGTGGCAAGTGCTTTTCAAAAGTATTAATCGATTAAGTCAGTTGATCTTAAACATGGCAGCTCACACATGGAAGATCTGAAAGTTACTGATGCCTCTGGCCTCACCTGTACCAGTTAAGAACTTGGGGGTGGTGACTGGAGGCTAAGAGAATTATTCATAGTACCAAGGTGATTTTAATACCAACAATGGTCAGAAATCACTAAGTATTAACAAGCCACAGACTGCCATCCCAATTCAAAGATGTTCTTGAGTGCAATTCCACACAAATTCTCGACCCTAGAAGCCAGTATTAAGAGGGTATCCAGGTCTCACAAGTCAGATATAGAAGGCATCATTGCCTGGGAAGGACAAGCCAAGACCAGTTTAAGCTTATCTTGGTGTGATTCCCTGGCCTCTGTCACCTGGAGGCTGAGTATAATCTTTCTACAGAGGTAGATTCCCTGCCCCCAACCTTACCTGGACACATCTGGGTCCTGTCTGAAGAGCAGCAGGATGTGCTCCGTGTTGATGAAGAGTGCCCAGCAGGGGAAGCAACAGAGGAGCAGGATGAGTGTCCCCCTCTGCAGGATGACCCCCACGTGCTTCAAGTTCTGGCTCCCAAATGTCTGGGGAGCACAGGCAAACAAACCCGTTAAACAGAAGGTGCAGCCCGGCTGTCACTCAGAACCTTCCGCCATGCCTCATAAGAAAGCAGGCGACTTAGCTAGTCTCTCTAGGGAAAGACTGTGTGGCTGGTTGAGAGCTGGGCTGGCTGCACTGCACAGCACCACAAAAATGAGCAGCAAAGACATCTCAAAGGTCCCATGCGGTTCTAGTCTGCAGTCAAGTTTGCATCGCCTGGAAGCTTGTCAGAGATGCAGATTTTTGGACCTGACTCCAGACCTACTAAAGCATGACCTGGGCCAAGGGCCGCAGTGTGGGGCATCAGCTCCTACCGACCTACAGAAGCCAGAGGGTACTGGTGACTCTCAGCTTTCTGTCCAGTAACATCTATGTGGGAACTTCAGATCAGCTATAGAGGGGAACATACACCAGGGGGACTGCCAAGTACCAATGACCTTCTGCTTAAGATGGACTGGCTTAACTTTTCAACTCCAAGTTGGTGCAAAGAAATGCACGCCTGGTGGAAACCAACCTTAAGGTTTTATTTTGGATCCTTCCCCAGGTTAGTGGTGTGGGGTGTGATCCTCTCATTCAGGGCTGGGCAGCACTGAACTGTGGGTCATGAGGAGGAGCCGTAGCTCCCACTCAATTATGGATCATGGGGGAACCAAGCCGTGTTCCATGCCGCTGAGCCAGGATGTCCACTAGGTGAGGGAGAGTCAATGGGTTTTCATCTTAGGATTTTCCACTTAGAATGGGTCTATCCAGATGTAACCCATCCTAGTCAAAAAGCATCCTATGCAAGCTGGAATACCACGCCCCTGGAGGATGCTGAACATTCACCCACAGCCCTGGGCAGGACCCAGTGACCTGCGCTTTGGCAAGCCCACCAGATGACCCTGATGCAGACTCCATTAGAGATGCCCAGGACCACACCAAATTCCAACGTGAAAGTTATAGGAGGGACTTTTACACAGGTTCCCTGCTGGATCAAAGGCAATCACGCAGAGCAGCACTTTTCGCTAGGGCTGAAAGAACCCTAGCCACACTTCAAAGACAGCCTTGGAAACCCAAGCCTATGGCTGGCCAAGGGTATCAGGGGCTGGCTGCTCTGAGAGCCTCATCTGTGTGCACATGGCTCTTCCTCTTGTAGTGAGCTCCTCCACCTACACCAAAGGAAAGATGTGTGGCGTCACGGAGAACGCGTACTTCCTTTTACCTGGGAGATGAGGGTGTCACACGCAGAAGATAAGCCATGTCCCACTGAAATGCCGGTGATGTTGATAATCTGGAAGGAAACAGAGAATGAGTTCACGGAGGCCCATTCTCTGTTGCTGCAGGTCAGGACCACGGTGTGGCTGACCCCCTTCTAGAGCACCTGCTCGGACCACTTGGGTCAGCTAGAATGACATGCAAAAGCTCAGAGAGGGACACCCAAATCTCAGACCAGCGACAGTAGCACCACCTTTTGAAGTCTTAGCTGTCTCGGTCCCCAGCTTCAGAGCAGCTCCTAAAGGAACACGGTGTAACACAGTAGCAGTTTGGGGTGAGTCTACCCACTAGAGATGAGGGCCTTTTGAGCATCTCTAACGCAAAACTCCACAATCCAAAATGTTCAGAGACCTGAAACTTCAGCATCAATGACAAGTCATAGCATCTCAGGTCGGATTTTGGAGTTTCAGATTAAGTATGCTCACCTGGGTAAAGTGTCAGTATTCTGAAATGCCCAGAGGAACTTGAGACCCTTCCAGTCTGCATTTCAGACAAGGGTCATTTCTCCAGCGTGGCCGGAGTCAAGCCCCTGAATCGTAAGAATGACACAGAAGCAAATGCATAGTCAAAGCCGGTGCCTGCTGGAGACTTCTTCACCAGTTCACTGTCTTCCCTAGAACCGGGAAGTAGCATCGAAGGGGTCTCATGCAGCTGCCTCGCTGAACTGAATCTGTAGCAGGTTCCCTGGGACAAAAGCTGAGCTCAGCCTGCTGTAAGAGCTGGCTTGTCACAAGGCCACAGCCAATAGAAACCTGCTTGAGGCTTACCTGCATATACTACTATACTGCCTCAGATCTTCAAATAAGGAATTGTGGTGTTGCTCAGTGGGAGAGGTTTTGCCTAGAGACCAGGTAAGAAGGGGTAGGGCAAGACCAGGAGGGGGCTAAGCAGAACAGGAATACATCCTGCAAAGAGCCAGAGTGGTCGTTTGCCACAGCAGCAGGAGGCCACAGCCGACAGCTCTGTAAGCCTCTGTGGAAAGTCTTACACGTACCGCGATTGCCAGTGTGACCGCGTCCAGCTCTAGCTTGCCCAGGTGACCACAGAATACGGAGCTTATGAAGCTGATCAGGAACATCATCAACTGGGCCAAGAACTGGAAAGAGAGGAGAGCAGGGGTCAGGATGAGCACCCACCGCCCTAGTGCACGGGAGAACATGGTGCTGCCCATCCAGTTCCCCGGAGAAAGAAACACGGACACTGTTGACCCATGGGAACAAACACATGATTTCACTATAGCATATGATGCGTGTGCTGGCTAGCTTTAGGTCAATTTGATACAAGATAAACTCATTTGAAAAGAGCAAATTATTCTATTGAGAAATGCCCCCTCCAGATTGGCCTGTGGGGTCTTTTCTTGATTGACAGTTGATATGGGAGGCCGAGTTCACCATGGGCAGTGACACCCGTGGGTTGGTGGTCCCAGATGCTATAAGAAAGCAGGTTGGGCAACCCATGAGAACAAGACAGTAGCAGTGTTCCTCAATGGTTTCTGCTTCAGGCTCTGCCTCCAGGTTCCTGCTTGAGCTCCAGCCCTGACTCCTTCAACGCTGGACTATGATATGGAAGTACAAGCGGAAATAAACCTTTTCCTCCTCAAGTATTTTATATGGCCACGGTGTTTACCACAATCACAAAAAAGTAACTAATACAGAAGTTGTAAAGAACCTGACCGCGTTCCCTAGAAGAAAGTGGAAGGCTTTGGTACTTCGAGCTAACGATTATGGACTCAGCCCTCTGGAGCCGTAAACCGCGATCAACCCTTTCTTCTGTGAATTGTCTTGGTCTTGGTGTTTTATCAAAATGAAATAGAACTAACACAGGGGTTAAGGCACAAGTGAGATCACCCAGCTGGACAGCAGAGGACTCTAGGACTTCACATGAAGAGCGCCTGTTTTATTGAGGACGCCTAATTCTCTAGTTCTAGGATGGCTCTGCTGTGAGGGCAAATACATCCTCAGTTACTAGGCCCTTGTGTCCCACATCCCAAAGATGGTTATGACTTCCTCCACAATGCTGTGTCTCTGACACAAAAGTCCAAGAATTTGAGCTAAGTTCGGATAATTCATGTGGGATGCACTTTCCGAGGCCAGGCCAGTTAACCGTCTCCTCAGGAGGCTGCTGCGGCTCTGCTGGCAGCATGTCAACAACTTTGCTCACTACCCGGGTTGGTACTGAACGTAGCCAGTACCTGCAGGAGCAGCACTCTGGAGCAGAAGTTTATTGGTTTCTCAGCCCTTGGTGACAAGGTTTTGTGTGAGCACTTGGCCACAGATGTAAGTCATCTGCAGAAATTCAAAATGTTCTGCCGGGCAGTGGCGCACGCCATTAATCCCAGCACTCAGGAGGCAGAGGCAGGCAGATCTCCGTGAGTTCGAGGCCAACCTGATCTACAGAACTAGTTCCAGGACAGCTAGAACTGTTACACAGAGAAACCGTCTCAATAAAAAAATAAATAAATAAATAAATATTCCCTGGCCCACCTCAACATATTGATTTGGGAGGTCTGTGGGGCTGAGGAATTCGCATTTCTGTATTTTCTCTATCTCTGGGCCATGCAAACATGCATGCAGCCAACAGTCCTACTTTGGGAATCCCTGAGAGCTTTTGGAGTTATGCTGTTGAAAGGGGTATTGCTTAGATTGGTCCTCCCATAAAACTCAGTGGCTGTTGTGTGAACTGAAGTGGGCATGGTTTAGACAGCATAGGGGCAGCAGTTTAGCAGTGTAGGGGCAGGGTGCAGCTCCATGGGGAGGGGGGTGTGCACTTCTTTCCTTCCTTCTCATCCAGGGATATTGCTCCTTTTTCAGCATGTCACAATAGAGAAACCTGGTAGCAAGACCCTTCATGCCTTGCAACTTAAGATAGGAGAAAGGGGGTGGGGTGTGCCTGGGGCCTGGCGCTTGGAGGTAGAACCAGTAACTGCCTGCTCAGTGGACTGTGAAGGAACTGTAGAAGGGCCTGGCTCATCCCCTCCCACAATGGTCTGCAAGTCCACTCTCAGCAACAACATGTCAGCACAGCCATCACCTGGGGACATTCTTCCCGTACACACAAGGAAGCTTAGCCCAGAGTCACCTGACTCAATTAGACTACAACAGTATTCCTGAAGCACACAGCGCATTCGGAATTCCAGCTCTGGAGTCCCCAGTCTGAGTTCCCTCTGCCGCCCAACCTTGGAAGCCATAGCACAGACAGAAAAGATGCGGACGGTGTAATAACGCTGCTGAGCACTTCTGCGTAGAGAACTGAAAGGCACTGACCTCCCCACAGGGGACCTTAAGTCACAAAAAGCAGGGTGGCATCTCAGCCTTCACTTGTGTCTGTGTCTCTTGATTGGAACTAGATTCCTGCCTGCCCTACAGACAGGTGTGTTAACGACTTACAGAGTTCTGGCTCCTTAACCCGTGTGACTCCCTTGAAGAATGAAGGACAACCAAGACATCTCACTGTCAGCTTCCATAACACCCTGCTCCAGCCCCCAAGGCTGTCATGTTCTAATCCATCAGTCATCTGGGATCCAAGAACAACAGAGCCCCACAGAGAGATCACTCGTGACGAGGTTACCTCGTCATGGAAACTGGAGTGTTCCCACCACTAAATGTAGGAGTAATCCTTATGGAAACAGCAGCTTGTTCTCTTGAATAATGATGTCTCCAGAGTCACGTGACAAACAACCAGCCATACCAGTGTGTAGTAATAGTGATATCTCCTCCATGATCCTGATGCAGGGATTCCCCTGGACCAGTGTGTGGTAACAGCAATGTCTCCTTGGCTCTAGTGCAGTGATTCCCCTGGACCAGTGTGTGGTAGCAATGATGTCTCCATGACCCTGGTGCAGTGATTCCCCTGGACCAGTGTGTGGTAACAGCAATGTCTCCTTGGCTCTAGTGCAGTGATTCCCCTGGACCAGTGTGTGGTAGCAATGATGTCTCCATGACCGTGGTGCAGTGATTCCCCTGGACCAGTGTGTGATAACAGCGATGTCTCCACGGCCCTAACACTTTCTCTATTGAAGCGGAAAGTTTGTGTCAGTGCCCAGAAGCTGGGCTAAGGTGAAGAAGTTGAAGAAAATTCCAGGAGGTGTCAAGTTAAACTCAAAACAACTTGAAGAACTTTCCAGGCAGAGGAGAAGGGCAGTGAACCTGAAGAAAGAAGGTTGAGGCCAGGCCTCTGAACAGATGCAGGCTGGGTAGAAAGGTGAAAATAAGGTGACATATGATGTCAACACAAGGGCCAGACTGCACAGCTGAGTCAGGGCCTAAGCACAGTTCGCACTGCTTTGTTTCACACACATGTGCAAAGGTCTGCAGTTGCTCTACAGTGAGCATTTTAGGAAGAGCTCTGGAGGAGAGTCAGTGAATGAGAAAGTGAAAACCCTGCCAGCCTGTGAGATGGTCCAGCCATTTCCTCCCAAGCCAAGCGGTTGCCTGAGCTCAGTGCCTGAGAGCCACACGACGGAAGGAGAAAATTAACTCTTGTAAGTTGTCCTCTGGATTCTACCAGTTGTATCCCCCCCAACGCACACAATAAATGAATAAATAAATGTAAAGAGAGAGAAAGAGGGGCAGATGCTCGGAGGTTAGCTCAGCCACCCTACCTGTCTACAGTGGAGCCTGGGAGGATAGGGCAGTAGACAATACAGTCCTCGGGAAACGGGATGCCCAGCATCTGGGCACCGAGGTGCAGGAACCAAGAAGGGCTCCATACTCAATCACAAGAGACTAAGCTGATTGGGAAAGCAATCTTGATGGCACTCTTGCAAAGCAGTCACCAGGTCACCTGGCTGCTCCTACAATCTGAGATTTCCCTTTTTTTATTCTGTTGGTTTTAGTGTCTCTTCCTTCCTTCCTTCCTTCCTTCCTTCCTTCGTTGCCGCGCCCCCCCCCCCTTCAATAAATATGCATTGTGTTGGTAAGAAACCAATGGCATACATGTATACATTCATGCTCCCATGCAGGAAAAGGAGCCAGTTCCCTTCTGTCAGCCTAGTGCTGGGGATCAGGTGACCAGAAGAGGGCAGGAGCTTCGGACACTGCCTCTCTCTTTTCCTTTTGGGATTTTTGAAGCAGCAGCTCACTCCGTAGCCCAGGATGACCTTGAACTCGTGGACGATCGACCCTTCTGCCCCAGTCTTCCCAAAAGTACTAAGATTTCTTGCCACCGCTACCACACTAGGCTCTTAGAAAGTCTTTCTGACAGCCCCTCAGTTAGATTAAGTTGAGGCAAAGATAGCGGCTCTTCAGTCACTGGAGAGGAGAGGGTGGAACTGCCCTGTGTTCCCAGGCTGTTCCCTAACACACCTGGGAAGATCCAATCAGGGAACTGAATTCCAGGGCTGGAGACCAAACACCAGATGCGCTTGTCCGCAGAGGGCTGTGAGCTACTCTGTCTCTGGAGGACCTGCAACTCCACACCCCACACCCTACTGTGTGAGCCAACATATCCAAGAATGGGGTCGCCATTCCAAGAGGTCACACGTGCCGGCGCTCTGGAGCGCCAAGGTGCTGAAATGACTGCCTCTTGATCAATAGAACATTCACTCAGACACACACTGGCAGATTCTTTTAGCCAGAGAAAGGGTTTTCTCTCCCTTGAGAGCTGAAAAACCCCAAACTGGCAGAGAACAGGAATAAGAGCACATGTGATGTGGTTCTGTGGTCTTAAAACCCACATTGCTTCTAAGAGACAGCAATGAAAGAGGCCTCGCCTAATGAGTAAAACCAACCCCACGGATGAGAGCACTCCACCTCAAAGAGAACTGCATTAGGAACTTGGGTTTTGAACACAGTGCTTGGTGGGAGAGGAGCTAGCACAACATGCCTCTGCGTCAAACATTGGATCTAGATTCCAAATAATTTCGAAAACCTAATTCCAAGGTGACAGTTCACTTTCCTGCTCCACGACTCTGCCCCGGGGCTAATTCTATAGATGCCCGACCTCCCAGGCTTCACCGCTTGTTTGCAAAGAAACCAAGTCTGAATGGCCCCACTTTCAGGAACCTCTGGCTTCAGGGCGCACGGGAGGCGCACCAGGCTCTCCACATTGGCGCAGCTGTGGCCCGCTGCCGGCTCTCCCAGTCCCCAACCCACGAAGTCAGACGCGGCAACTTGGGTTACTGGACTCCCAGTCCTCGGGGATCGGCCTGCAACCGAGGCCACCTGACTCACCGCAGGACCCGCCAGGACCAGGAGCGCCCGCAGTTCCTTTTGGAAGCCGGACAGCAGCACGCTCAGCCCACGGCGCTCGGACACGGTGTCCGCACCTCCCGGCTCGGGAGCAGGCTCCTCTGGGAGCTCCATGTGGCCTTCGCGCTGCCCTGACTCAGACGCGGCAGGGGGATCCACAGGTCTGGCGGATTCCAGTCCCCGCCCTCCGCCGCCTCCCGCAAGCCCGCCCAGCGCTGGCTGGATGAGTCCCAGTCTCTGTGACCTTGGACGCACCCCTTGCCCCTGCAACCCCGAGGTCCACGCGCCTCCAAAGGCTGGCGAACAAACTCCGGATTGAGAAGTTTGCAGAAGTGCTGTAAGTGAACGAAAAGTTCACGGGAGCGACCTTCCAGTCTCTATCGCTGTCCAGGGGCGGGTTCAGAAATTAGAGGCTTGGAAAGACTTAGAGTCCTGAGTCAAAGGTCGGATCAGGCAGTCGTGGGTGTCCAATGTCTCTGCTGAGCAGTCTGTGGTCAGCTTAGCACATACTCTGTTAGAGGTTTGAACTCTACAATTTTTTTCCCTCTTGATAGTTGTTTCATTAAAGAATATAGCGTCTTCCAGGAAAGAAAAGCAAGCCACAGAAGTGTTCCCTGCTCTTGGATGGTCATCAGTCTAAAGAGACAACAGACACTGTGGCAGGAATAGACAGGTTCAAGGAACACCAGCAACCCGGAGAAAATACAAACTTGCCACCCAGAACCTGGCTCTCCTCATCTTTAGACTCAAGATGCATCTCCCTCACCACTCACTGCAGGCAAGGATTACCTCACAGGAGTTAGGTCGAAGTCAAAGGATTCCTGTGAGGTGCTAGAGGCCCTTCTGTGGCAGGTGACCGTGCATGGCAAATGTCTTAGCTCACTGTTAGCTTCAAGCTGCTCTGACAGAACGACCCAAAGGTAACCAAAGCAAGGGATGGTTTTTGTTTGGTTTGTGGCCTCAGAAGGCTCCAACCTTGTCCAAGCATTGCATAGAAAGAATGTAGAGGAACTACGTTTCTTGCCTCCTGACAGCCAGGAAGTAAACAGACAAAATACCCTTCAAGGACATGCCTGTGTGACCCCCCCCTTTCTGCAGTTAGCCTAGTTTCTAGCACCTTCCAAAATGAGGCCACCAGGAGGAGACCAAGTTTTCAACATAAAAGCCCATGAGAGACACTGAATACCCCAACCTCACCACTCAGTTAACCAGGAAGTTTGGCATCCAGATTCGGGGTTTGGTTTTCAGTATTGGGGATATAACCCACCCCCAGCCTCACACATGTTGAACATAAGCCCTGTCACTGAGCTACAACCTTGAAGAATCCAAGATTTTAATACATGATCAATGTGGCTGGGAGTAGAATACTTGCCTAACATGTGTGAGATCCTAATTCCAGCACCATGAAGAACAACAAACCATCTGAGTCAGTGTTCTATTGCTGTGAAGAGACACCATGACCATGGTAACTCTTACAAAGGAAAGCATTTAATTAGAACTGCCTTAGAGTTTCAGAGGTTTGGTCCATCATCATTATGGTGGGGAACATGGTGGCACAGAGGCAGACATGGTGTTAGAAAGATAGCTGTGAGTTCTATATCCAGATCCACTGGCAGCTGGAAGAGAGAGAGAGACTCTGGGACTGGCTTGGGCTTTTGAAACCTCAAAGCCCACCCTCAGTGACATACTTCCTTCAACGAGGCCACATCCCCAATCCTTCTCAAGGAGTGCCACTTCCTGATGACTAAGCATTCAAATATATGAGCCTATGGGGGGAGGCATTCTTATTCAGACCAGCACACAAACAATCCAGACCATTAGTGTTTTTTCCCTGCCCTTACACACCATCTGGGACTCTCCCCTTGGTCCCTGTGCAGGGAAAGACAGTCTCCAGTCTCATCCTCCTACCCTATAGGTCAACTACTAAGACCCTCTCCCTTCTCTTCTGATTCCATTAGCACAAAATGAGAGAGAGGAGGGGATTGGCCCTCCTTAGATTTCTTGCCTACTTTTAGAACAATCACCTAGTCCAGGAAATCGGGGTCTTGAGTCTGCTTACACCTGAACTACACTCCAAGCTCTGTACCTAGGGTTTAGGTGGTGTCCAAAACTGGGGTTTCCCCACCAGGACTGCATGTGTGGAGCAGAGAAGCAGCTTCTCAGAGAAAATGGGGGTCTCTAAGTCAGAAGCCCAGGCTGGGCACTAAGATGCCCCTTCCATATTCTTGGGGTTTATTCCCACCCTACCCTCATTTTACCAATGTCCTGCTGCACAGTCCCTGACAGTGAATTCTACAGCTGTTTCTCTGCGACGCACCATGCCCGTCTGCGCTCTATGTGCCGTTATACAGTTCATGAGCTGGGCAAGGGGCTGGAGATGGAAACATACAAAGACTCACAGACAGAGAGACAGAGACATGGGTCATCCTTGATGCCAGAATCCTTGAAACAGGAATGCCCCCCCCTTAGTTTGTACCAGAGCCGCTTACATAGAGACTCTTAACTGATAGCCACGCCCCAGCCAAACCCACCAGAAACCACTCCCCTGCCATCAGGAACTCCTGAGGGTCTCTTGTTCAGGGCAGCTGCAAGCATTACAAGTTATTTACCAGAAATTCGGGACCTGGGGGGGTTCACAGCTTCCAACATTTTGGTCTTCGGGGGTGTCCTCTGGCTCACTGAGGCATTGGTGTGAGACATGAGTCTTCTTGGGCACAGATCCAGGTGTTCGTGGAACTTTCTGAGTTTGGTGAATGATGATGAGAATGTGGACCGTGAATCTCCAGACAGCACTGATCCCAGAGCGCTTGGATGCCTCCCTGCCTGTTATTTTGGTGATACGCAGTTGGGTGAGTGCCACCTCCGGGCCGCCCGGCTGTTATAGCAGCTCCTTCTCATGGCAAACAAAGGTCAGAGCTTTAGACATGACCACCCCAGCAGGCTCTGAGGGAAACAGCCACCGCTGCTCTTTGGGGAGCTTCAGAAAACCCCCACAGATGTACATGAAGCATACATGTGATGTGTAAATGTTAGGAAGGAAGAGATCAAGTCACTGCTTGCATTTATAATTCAAGGCTATCCAAAGAAACAACTGGGAAAAGGCTAATGGCTTTAATAAAGGGATCTGGCAGGATAGCTCCATTGCCAGTGCCTGTTTAGCACGAGGGGAGTCCATCAGTTCCATCCCCAGCATCAGGAAAAAATAGAATTCATAAGAAGGCTTAAGAAAGCTCTAAGTGCAAGTCTCTTATGTGGTGATAACATTAACATGAAAACATTTTTAAAATAAATATCTGACACAAGAGATAAAACCTCTGAGCCTTGCTTCTTAAACGTGACCTGGGCTCCGTTCTACAGCACAGAAAGGAGAAATGACACCTTCACAGCAGAGAAATCTGACACACAGGGCTTCAGCCAAAGAAGATGGGGGGCAACATCAGGAGGAGCGGGGCAGCACACGCCTGCCTTGGAACCTGGGACTTCTGAGACAGCACGCCACAGATTTGGAGGCTTCAGACGACAGAATTATATTCTTTGACACTTCAGACCAAAAGCCTGAAATCAGGGAGATGGCAGAGAAAGTTCCTTCTTGGGGACTCAGGAGAAACTCTGGGGCACACCACTGTCGGCTTCCGGTGACAGCCAGTAATCCTTGCAGTTCCTTGTGCTATGATCGACCATAAAATACATCCCATTGGCTTGTGTTCTGGATTTTTTTTAATAATTTTATTTTTAGGATTTATTTTATTTCAGCACCAGGCAGTGGTGTCACAAGCCTTTCTTGGGACAGGAAAAGGACATTCGTAAGAACTAAGGAAACATGAATTCACAGCCTTGGTAATAGTGTGTCCGTATTAATCCAACTCCCGGAGGTGACACACCGCCCTGCTGGCATGGACAGTTAAAAACAAAACAAAGCAAAACAGCCCTAGAAAATTCAAGGTCTCTCAACATAAAACCAGCACAGACTTTGTATTTTCTTAGGGTAATTTGAAGTTTTAAGTTGCAGAGGGGTGGAGAGCGGTAGTTGTCACCTGTGTCTGCCATGGAATGTTCTGGATGTTTCACTGTTGCCAGTTTTTCATCTCATTTGGGATTAAAAGAACCAAAGCCACCTGGATATGAGAATATGTGTCTGTAACCCTAGTATCCAGAAGCCTGTAGCAGGAAGCTCAGTGGCCTAGGAGCTCAGGCCCAGTGTAGGCAGTGAAGTCCCTGTCTCTTAAGCAAGAAGCTGGGCATGGCCTGTTCATGCCTGTAATCGAGAACGTGGCAAGCCGAGGCAAGAGGACTGCCACAAATTTCAGGTCAACCTGGACCAAAAAGGGATACTGTCACAAAAAGCCAAAAATAATTAATTAAAATAAAAATTAAGAAGGAAATTGGTTTTTAAAAAAATAGAAAGTTTTCTGTCTTCTGAAGTTACCAGCTAGTGTGTGGCTTCAGTATGTCTCCCAAGATCATGTGTTGGAAGCTCAGGCCTCCAGGTGGTAGTCTTCCAAAGACAGAACCTTTAAGAGGTGGTCCCAAGGAGGGAGAGGAAACTGCAGCTGGGGTGTAAAGTAAATAAATACATTTAAGAAAAGAAAGAAAGAAAGGAAGGGAGGGAAGAGAAGGGAAGGGAAAAAGATGGTCTCGGGCTGGCTAATTAAGTCATTGGAGTGTAACTCCCAGAAGAGAGTCATAGTCCCACTAGGAACCCTGTTAGTCCCCACTACCGCAGGCTCTGTATAGAGCAAGCCTGCCCCAATCCCTCTGGCTTGTCGCGTGCCACACCACATCTCCCTGTAGTACTGCCTTCTCATCCTGATGCCATTTGCTATGTGACAGTGTAGCCAAAAAGCACCCACCAGGTCTGACCAGATGCTGGTGCTATGTTCTTGAATCTCCCGAACTTTGAGCTAAATACATCTTTGTTGTTGTTGTTGTTGTTGTTGTACATCCTCCAGCATCGAGTATTTAGTTGTAGCAATCGATCATGGAAAATACACTCTGATCTCGGTTCTGCCACTTCATCTCCTTTTTCTGACAGTGACCCTTTTGCCCTCCTGAGGGCCTTCACAATTCTTCTGAGCCCATGTAACAATCCAAGGTGATTGGTACAGCTCAGGATTTTAAGTTGATCACATCTACCTGTGCCTGTCGCCATGTAGGGTAACCCAGTCACAGGCTCTGGGGATCCGACTGTCTTTGGTGGGCGTTACTCTGCAGCACACTCTCATTGTGTCCCCATTCTTTCTTCAGCTTCCTGGTCCTTCATCTCCGTTGACTTCATTGACTGTCTCCATAGAATGTTAAATGATACATACTTTCTGAATCTTTGTTTACCACCATATTCACTGTACATCAGTGTCCC